GAAAGAAAGAAAGAAAGAAAGAAAGAAAGAAAGAAAGAAAGAAAGAAAGAAAGAAAGAAAGAAACCACAGACTGAGTGGCTTAAACAACAGAAATCTATTTTCTCACAATTCTGCCAGAAATCTGAGATCAGATGTGGGCAGGATTGGCTTCTCCTGAGGACTCTCTCTGGGTTGTAGGTGGCTGGCCATCTTCTCCCTGTGTCCTCACATGGTTTTCCTTCTGTGCTGATCCACCTCCCTACCTCAACCTACCACCCTCCTCCATCACCACTAATCCCGACCCTAAGAACATGACTTCCTCCTCAGGACCCAAGCAAGGCTCTGGCTGTGCAGTGTCTATGAACAAACTCCTCCTGAGACAGAGCACTAGGGTCATGATTGCCCTCATATTATACCGTGGGTATTAGGACATTGAGCCTTTTGTGCAAGATCCTATATTCAAGAGCTCAGATGGCCTCTGCCTATCAAAGAAGATTGTTCTTCCGGAAAGATGGTGCTTATTCAGAGGCTAGTGAAGCGAGGCAGAGAAATCTTTTTTATCTTTAGGAGAAAGAACATTATAGCCACTTGGATGTGACCAAAATGACTCATAATGGTTCTTAATGGTCAAATGAGACATGAATGTTAAAGGGAGAATTCTATTCAAGGGAAAGAGAACAGTCCTGGTGCTTTAATCATAAGTGCTACCTTACCGAGTATGATATTTTGGCCTCAATTGCTTCATCTGAACAATGGGTATATAATATCTCTTTGCAGGATCACCAGAGGTCTCTGGAGAATCTTGCACAAGTAACTAAATGCTTCCCTTTGGAAGTGACACTTGTCACTCCTTCTTAAAGCTCATTAGCCAGACCTGGGATTTAGGTGGTGGTGGGGTGACCTGCAAACCTTCCAGTGCCCGCAAGGTGGAGCCAGGAGTAGCGGTGAGCAGCAGTGATGGCACTGCACTAGCTTATAGTAGGTGTTCAGTACATGGTATGGATGTTCTTATGATTTGTCCTGTCTTTTCTGAAAGTGACTATATTCTGTTCCATTTCTCTCTTTCAAGCAAGACTTAATTAATCCTAATTAAGTGGACTAATGGATTTAGCCACATGTACTCTTGCCCCCTCACCCTTGGGGAATATTATCTATGAATATTCCAAAGTCAATTATTATTCTTTGAGCTGTTGTGATGGAGCTGTGTAAATTCAGTTATAAAAAGGAGACATTTTGACCATAGGTTGAAAGCAAGCTTTTATGCATGTGACATAGTGTGAGTGTTTTTATGTCTCAGGCAGGGAATGAAAGTCAGAGATGGTCCTTTTTATTTGAGACATACACCTGAGGGCCACACTACTTTTTGGCACTGGCCTGAATGTTCTTAGGTTGCACTCCCAGTGCTGGCATCTTTTCTCCTTTTCACTTTTTTAAAACTTTAAAAAAAAATCTTCACCTGAGGATATGTTTATTGATTTTAGAGAGAGAGGAAGGGAAAAGAGAGAGAGAAGAGAGAGATAAACATCTATGTGTGAGAGAAACATCGATTCATTGCCTTCCACATGCATCCTGACTGAGGAGTGAACCTGAAACCTAGACATGTTTCCTGATCAGGAATTGAATCGGAGACCCTTTTGTGCAGGGGAAGACCCTCCAGTTCACTGAGTCACACAAGCAAGGGCCTCCCTTTTACTTTTCAAAAAATTATGGTAACAACCAAAGGACTTGTATGCATGCATATAAGCCTAACCAATGGACACAGACAAC